GTTCATGCACACATTTATCCATACATTAGTCATGGATTAAACATCATTTTTCAAACAAGAAAAAAGTCCTATGTGTTAACAACTGCCCTGTACCGAAACTGGAGGGTCTTCACGTGTCGGGCCTTGGGAGGCGATACTCGTTCGACATCGTGTCGATGCCTCTTTGGGTGCTCGAAAGTTCTTCTGGGATGTCGTCCTTGAGTACGATGGGCGCAACATAGGCATAAACTTGATTAAGAGGTCCGCGCGGATTGTTTCGGATCGGCTTTGGACCCCCCTCCCTGGCGTGCGGAGCGCGCCAGGGGCGCCGCCGGAGGCGCCGCCAGGGGGCCCAGCGCCGATCCGAGAGATCTTCGTGGGCCTCTGAGTTGCCATGCTTGTGCCAGATGAGGATCCGTGATCGTGATGATGGTGGTGGAAATGAAGACGACGATGATGGTGATGATGATGCTGATGATGGTGGTGCTGGTGATGATGCTGATGCTGATGCTTGTGCTGATGCGGATGATGCTAGTAATGTTGATGTTGGTGATGATGGTGATGATGATGATGCTTATGATAATGTTGATGGTGATGATACTGATGATGGTGAATGTAACGACGATGATGACGATGCTGATACTGACATTCCTCGTGTTGAGGATGATGTTTATGATCATAGTGAGGATGATGATGCTGATGCTGCTGATGTTGATGATGCTGATAGGGATGATGCTGATTTCGGTGACGACGATGCTGATGATGATGGTGATGCTGGTGTCGATGATGCTACTGATGTCGATGATGAGTATGAGGATGATGATGGTAATGCTGATGATTATGGTGATGATGATTGTGATGATGGTGATGAGGATGATGCTGCTGATGATGATGAGGCTGTTGATGCTGATCATGATGGCGACGATGTTGATGATGCTGATGGTGATGGTGGTGGTGGTGATGGTGATGATGGTGGTGATGGTGATGATGGTGGTGATGGTGATGATGGTGGTGATGGTGATGAGGTTGGTGATGATGATGACGCTGATGATGATGCTGATGCTGATGTTGCTGATGATGATGCAGATGATGATGATGATGCTGATGATGGTGATACTGATGAATATTATCATGATGATGATGATGATGATGCTGGTGGTGATGATGATGATGGTGATTATGATGCTGATGCTGATGATGATGATGTGGAGGAGGAGGACGATGAAGATGTTGTTGACGATGACGATGATAATGATGCTGATGCTGATGCTGGTGCTGCTGCGGATGATGTTAGTAATGGAGAAGGGGGAGGATGAGGATCAGGATGAGGATTAAGATGATGATGAGGACGAGGGGAGGGACGAGGAGGGAAATGACGAGTGTGATAGCCAGCCGGGAGCTTTGTTGGGGCGGGCAGCATCAAAGACCCTCTGGGGTTACCCCTGACTTCGGATCCGCCGTACTCTTTGGGCAAAGTCGTCAGCAGGGCGGCGACTTCCCGCCGGGCGGCCCCGCTGGGCCAGCGCTTGGAGGGGCTCCCAGGCGCGGGGCCCTCTCGCTTGGATGCCGCGGGGGGTAGGTAGGAGCCAGCTGGGTGTCCGAGGTGGCCCAGCAGCCGTTCTTGCGGGCAGGAAGGGGGGGGGGGGGGGGGCGAGGTGCAAGGTTCTGGGCGAGAAGCGGCTCGATGAGGATCCAGGGTGCCTGACAGTTGGAGCCGGCGGGGGGTCCGAGGTGGCCCAGCGTGAGCCTTGAGACGAGGGTCACTGCAGACGGGGGTCAGCCATGAGCGCAGGATCTGGCAGGATCCTGCGCAGCCAGGGTTGAATTGACCTGGGCTGGCGGCTAGCGCGCAGGATCCTGCAGGATAATGCAGGGTCTTGTCAAGCCTAACTGACCTGGGTTTGCACTGACACGTGTCAGTGCGTGCCCGTGCCCAGCAGTCGTTCTGGCAAGCCGGAAGTGGGGGGTTCGAGGGTTTGGGTTGGAAAAGGTTCTTCTGCCTTTTTGGTCTCAAGGATCCGGGGTGAAGAACTCGCCAGACCGAAGGGACCCCTGAAGGGGTCCGCGAGGACAGATTTTGAGCGGAGTTGGCTTTACCGGCCCAGCGGGCTCAGACCCCGAGGCCGCTTCTACAGGGGGAATCTTCAAAAATAGTAAAACAATAGTCTGGTGACTACTTTGTGAATATTTTTGCGCATATTTTGAGCATGTTTCGAGTATTTTTCATTCTTCGTCCAGAATCCCCCTGTAGGGGGGCAGGCCCGACCTAACTCTAGCTTGGAGGGATGTCTATCGGGCTTGGTTCGCCAGAACCGTGGCTGGACGGTTTCCTGCCATCGTGGCGCATCGTGCAGCCATCGTGAGGCCTCGAGAGCGCATCGGAAGCGAAGGGCGAGGAGTCAGAACACACAGAAGTGCACAGTGGTATTGAGGGATGTCGGCCTCCCGGGGGCCTCCTTGGGAGGCTCGGAGGGCACTTGGGCCGTCCTGGGGCGATCTCGAGGGCTTTTGGAGACATGTGGAAGGACATCTCGGCTTACCTTTGGATCGATTGAGTAATCTTGGGGGTCATCTCGGGCTCTCTGGGGTCTCACCGTGGAGCCATGTGGGGGCCAAAAAGTATCCTCTGACACCTCAGCGCAAGGGGAGGGGGGAGGGGGAGGGAGAACCCCCTCCCCGAATAGGAAGGAGGGGCTTACCAGAACGAGCTTCTTAGACAACTTACGCCAAGAGGGCTGGTGGGATGGACGCCTGCATTAGATCAGATCAGGCGATCGCAAACATGGGTTGGCGTGGATTAGCGATGGGTGCCATTTCCATGGCAAATCGCGGATGTCCGCCGCCGAACGAGGCGTCACTGGCCGCATTTGGGGGAGGGCACCTCGCCCGATGCATGAATTTGACGACCGCGCACCAAGTCCATGGATCGCGTATTCATGTTTGCGCGCCCCCGATGAGATTCCCCGTGTGCGCTCACCCTCTGCCTGCTGTAACAGGCCCTCTGTGGCATGACCTCCTCCTCCTCCTCCTCCTCCTTCCGTTTCTCCTCCTCCTCCTCCTCCGCCTCCTTCTGCTCCTCCTCCTCCTCCTCCTCGGCCTGCTGTGATGATGGTACAGGCCCTTATGATGGCATGACAAGTTCCAACCCGTGCGGGTTGCCCTGGCCGGGTGTCTTCGTTACAAGCCTGGCCTAAACCCGAAGGGGCATGGGGCCACACGGAGAACATTTCGGAGAGGAAGAAAGGATGAGGACGACAAGGAGGAGGAGGAGGAGGAGGTGGTTGAGGAGGAGGAGGAGGAGGCCTCTTGGACTCCTACGGATCTACTTGGGCTCTATTAGGGCCTCCTGGGAGTTTCCCGGTGGATTCTTGGGGATCTCCGAGGGGCCTCTTGAGATGTCCTTGGGGGCCTCTCGTCGGCTCGTTGGGCCGTCCCAGGGATTCCCTTGGCCCGCCTGACGCCTTCGGTGGCCGTGCTGGGGGCCTATCTTTGTCCTCTTGGCCGGCTTGGATGCCTCTTCGGGCCAGTGTGGCGCTCTCGAGGCCGTCTTTGGGACTTCTTGAGCAGTTTGGAGCCATCTTGGAGGCCTCTGGAGCCGTGTTTGAGCTTTGGAAGCCCGAAAGGGGAGAACGCTGACAGTCGTCAACATCCCAAGGGTCATTACAGATGTTTGCCTCTTGGGCCCTCTTGGGCGGCCTCTTGTAACCGTTTTGGGGCGTGTGGGAGGCCTCTTGGAGGCATCTTGGGCCGTGGTCAGGCCGTTTTGGGCATCTTGGAGCGCTCTTGGCTCGTCTTGTGCGATGTTGGAGCAATCGTGACCTTACTGCAGGCATCTTGGGACCATCACGGGCGATGTATTTTCCAATGGGTCGGCGGGTTGTGATGGAGGCCACCGAAACCCGATTGGAAGGGCTCAAACGGTCAGCAACTCGGCACGCCACAAATTCATGTGGACTTGGGCCGATCCCGTCACCGTGCCCGCGGTGTCGGTCAGAGACTTCTTGGATGCATATTGTGGTCTCCTGGGATGCCTCTCGGGAGGCCTCTTGGAGGACTTTTTTGGGGGGGCCTGAGGAGCCTCTTGGGGGCTTGCTTTGGGCCTCTTGCGGCATCTTGGAGGCGCTTCTTGGGCCCCGCTGGGGGCTCTTGGGGCCACCTTGAGGGTGGGGGGCTCCAGATGTCGGCTCGTCTTCCTCCTCTTGGGTCCCCCGTTGGGCCGTCTTGGGAGCCTCTTGGGCTCGTCTTGGGGGCCTCCTGGGCCGCCTGGTGGCCCTGGGCCATCTCCAGGGCCTCTTGGAGCAGTGGGGCCTCTCGGCCGCCTGGGAGTGCCAGAACCCTGGAAAAGGCGAGAACGCTCAAACTGTCTAAATGCCAGTTCCTCCTCCTCCTCCTCCTCCTCCTCCTCCTCCTCCTCCTGATCTACCTTCTCCTCCTCCTCCTGCCTCCTCCTCCTCCTCCTCCTCCTCATCCTCCTCCTTGGGGGCCTCCTGGGCCATCTTGGGGCCCTCATTGAGCCCTCTTGGGGGCCTCTTGGGGGCCTCTTTGGGGGCCTCTTGGACCATCTTGTGGCCAACTTCGGCGTCCTGGAGCGCTCTCGGGCAATCTTGGGGCCCTCGTGGACAGTCTACGGGGGGCTCCTTGGAGCGGTCTTGGCCCGTCTTGGGGTCACCCGGGCGCCAGGAGCAGTTATGCGGGAAGCCAGACGAGGTCTGCGACACCACGCGCCACATCCCAGCAGCGCCCAGAACTCTGGTTCCGGCTCCCTTCGAGAGCATGCATAATTCGATGCAGGGAACTCTTCAGGATCATGAGGTCATGTCAACTCGTGCCTCGAGGCACGGTGGCGGATTTACGATGTTCAAATCAGAGGATCCCGAGGGATCTCAGGACGCTCCGCTACGTTCCAAGGCACGGGTGTCGGATTAGATGAGCGGTTCGAGGGAAGAGAAGAAAGTCGTTGAGGAGGAGCAGCAGTTTCAGCAAGTGGTGCTTGCGATGCGATGCTGTCCGTACCCCCCCAGGCGAGTTCCGCATGGCGTGCCAGCTCGGGACGAAGGCATTCAGGACCCGTGGGGATGGGCGAGGCAGGTGGGTGGAGCAGCGGAGTGGGGCGTGCAGTGTCCGCGGTCGTGCGAGCACATCCAGGAGAGTACACTGCGCGCGCGTTATTGAGGTATTGGTGCGTCGGGGGGGCCAACGCGCGGGGAGTTCGCAGGCGACTTCTCTGCCCCGATCCCAGAGCTCCGCCCGAAGAGTCTGGCGCCTCAGAACAAAGGTGGGGATTCCCAGATACGCCCCGAGGGGGCTGTTCGGACGCACCCCTTCTCTAGGATCGACGCCCCGCCACTACAGTCGGGGCCCTGAAGAAGGAACGCTTTTCGTTGGGGAGGGGCTCGGTGTTCCTTGATTGTTTCAAAATTTGTCTCGGATTTTCCTGAGGTTGGCGATAGGAAATCGCGGTTGAACTTATGAGAAAAAGTGGCCTCGTTCCTTATTTAGGGTTCCTTAGGGCAACGCCCCGACTGTATCGGATATCCCAGGGTTGGGCCCCAATTTTTTTGTCCAGTCGAAAACCCGCGAAACCTGGAATAGGGGGTCGACCCAGGGAAACAAACAAAGACATAAACATCAAAACTCAGAGGTCCGCGCGGATTGCTCGGAACGGCGCTGGACCCCCTCCCCGGCGCGCGGAGCGCGCCAGGGGCGGCGCCGGAAGCGCCGCCAGGGGGGCCCCAGCGCCGATCCGAGAAATCCGCGCGTGACCTCCGAGTTTTTATGTTTATGCCATTGTTTGTTCCCCTACGACAATGCCGTCATTCTCCAGGCTTGCGCCCGCCAGGTTTGGTCCCGAGGTCGTTTTTTCATTAAACCGCGTTTGTCCATTCCCGAGATGGGTCGGGCATAGCCAGGACCCCAGGTAAGGGGACCCGCTTAGTAGTAGGGCCCCGGAGCCCCTACATTGACCAGAATCACTAAATCAGGTCTGCCGCAGCTGGCGTTTTCCGGGTGGCAGCAGTTCCGCTTAGTGGAACGGGGGGGCGGGGGGGAGCCTCCCCCAGTACAGATCACTAAACCAGGTCCCATTAAACCCCCTTCTGCCAACGCCCGAATAGGGGTCGACCTATCCCCTGTAAGGCAGGGCTGGACCCAAACGGTGTTTCTGGCGATTTCGTGGGCCGTTTTCGTTTCGATCTCGTTTTGCGGCAAAGACGGGTTCGAGACAAAGGCGAGGGTAAACGAAAACAAAACGAAAACGAAAAACACTGTTTAGGTCCAGCCCTGCTGTGAGGACTGCTGGTCAGGCCTCGGGTCGGGGGGCTGGTCCCCCGCGAGCGTGCTGCGCGGGGTCGAGGCGCGCCAGCGCGCTGTGGCACTGCGCTGCGCGACCGCCGCGCCCCCCCCCTCCCATCGGCAGCCCGCTGCGGGTGCCCACGGATGCATGGACGTACACGCTGGTCGTCGGAAGTAGTCGGAAATTGGAACAAATACATAACCAGTGGCGGGCTGTTGTTCAATCCTAGGACTTTTCGAGGGTCGGGGACGACGCTGGGGTGGTGTTTTGTCCCCGATGTCCCGGGGAAAACGAAAAATGTATACACCAGGGTCTCGTATACACCAGGGTCCCGTATACACCAGGGTCCCGTATACACCAGGGTCGCCGAAACTTGGTGTATTACCGATCTCAATTTTTTTTAGCTGACGACGCGTTTCGGACTCTAGGTCTTCTTCTGGGCCAAAAAGCTGCGGTGTCCCACGCGCGTGCCGTGCAGCGCGCGAGCAAGGCAGCACGAGGTCAAGAGTGCGGGGGTGAAAAAACCTGGGGGTGAAAAAACCCGCGGGGATGAAAAACCGCGGCGGGGGTGAAAAAACCCGGGGGTGAAAAAAAACCCTGGGGTGAAAAAAACCGGGTTTTTTTTCCACCCCCGCGGGGTGCGGAAGGTTCATGCGGCGTTGGCGCGCTGGCGACGCCGGCGAAGACGTTCATCGGGAGCCTGGTGACGGGGGTCAATGCAAACGGGGGTCAGCCAGAGCGCCCGATCTTGCAGGATCCTGCAGGGCCAGGGTCGCATTGACCTGGGTTTGGGCAAGGATCCTGCAGGATCCTTCGCATTGACCCGGGTTTGGGTGCAGGATCTTGCAGGGTTCTGCAAGGCCTGACTGACCCGGGTCTGGATTGACCTGGGTCAGAAGATCCCCGACTTCAAGGGGTAATTGTGCGACGCGGAAGCACCGAGGGACAGGTAACGACTTTGGACCCGACTGAATTCAACATTGAACAATCGGGGCCGCGATCGATTCGAGGTTGAACGATCGACGCGGTGTCAGAAACTTTGCGCGCGCCGACGCCGCGCGAGCCTACCGTATTCTGGGAGGTACTCTTAGGGGAACGAGAATGGCGTAAACATGATAATTCGGAGGTCCGCGAGGATTTCTCGGATCGGCGCTGGGGCCCCTTGGCGGGCGCCGATCCGAGAAATCCGCGCGGACCTCCGAGTGTTTATGTTTATGTTTATGTCATGTTTCGTTCGCCTCATTCTGGCAATTCCCATATCCCAATCTACTTCAGGTGCCTCTTTACTTCAAGAGCCGATCTGGTTTTGCTGTGCCTTTAATTGAATAGCTTCGCTCATTCCGCCCGCGCATTTTGCCGCGCCGCTGTCGTTTGTCGGAGTGTTGTTGTCAATGCAGTGCTGTTGGGCGGCTGCCATTTTTCGGAGGCGGCGGGTGGTGGGTCAGAGGCCTCATGGATGTTGGTTGAGCTACCGTGGTTGGCCTCTCGGGGGCCTCTGGGAGGCAGTTTGGAGCCGCTTGGGGCTCTCTTGGGGACCTCTTGGGGCCTCTTGGGGGACTCTTGGGGCCCTCTTGGGGCTTCTTGTGGTGCCTCTTGGGGGGCCCTTGGGGGCCCCTACTGGGCCTCTGGGGGCCTCCTGGGGGCTTAGATTGGGGCTGAAGGCTCAACTTTTCGGTTCCTGGTCCACTTCTCGGGCCCCTCTTGGGGCCGTTTTGGGGCCCTCTTGGGCCGTCTTGAGCGCCTCTTGGGCTGTCTTGGGGCCAGTTGGGGCCGTCTTGACGCGTCTTGGGGCGGTCTTGGGGGCCTCTTGGGCCGTCTTGAAGCGTTGTACAGCCGAACAGGCGAGAAGGCCAACATCTTTCAATAACCATAGTATAGTTGACGATTTGGGCCTCTCGGGACCCTCGTGGGGCTCTCTTGGAAGGCCTCTTGGTGGCCTCTTCGGGGGTCTTGTACGCGTCGCGGGCCGTCTGGAAGCCATCGTGGGTGTCTCGGACCGATCGTTCGACGACTCGAAGCCCTCTTGGACCGTCTTGGGCGCCTATTTGTGCCCTCTTGGATCGCTCTGTGGCGCCTGAAAGCCGCGCCCATGAGGAACACCCTCGTTTGGGAGACATGGCCAGGATACTGTGCGTCCGGGGACCCTTACGGGCCGCCCCGCCCGCGCGAAGTAGACATACTATGAAGCAGTTGCCGGAGATCTTAGCACGCCTCTGGCCAGTTGGGCGGGCGAATTCTCTGGGAGGGCCTGAACCCAATCTATTGTATCCACCTTCCTACTTCATATTTCCCAACCATCCTGTGGTGTTGGCTCTTCGTTTTGAAGAGATGGTCCCCGCGTTCACCTCCGCCTCCTCCCGCTGCCCCCTCCCTCCTCCTCTCATCATCATCACCATCACCATCATCATCATTATCACCACCACCCTCATCATCATCACCATCATCATCATTATTATCATCATCATAATCACCATAACCATCATCATCATCATCATCATCATCATCATCATCATCGTCATTATCATCATCATCATCAGCATCAGCATCATCATCATCATCATCATCATCACAATCAGTATCATCATCATCATCATCAGCATCATCATCACCACCATCATCATCATCACCATCATCATCATCATCATCATCATCATCATCATCATCATCATCATCATCATCATCATCATCATCATAGTCGTCATCACGCTTTCCAGCACACCCAGTACAGCGCTTCGTGGCTCCATAGGGAGCTCCACCGAAGGCCCCAGTGGGGGTGCCCGCATGCGTCCGCGACACCCAGTACAACGTTTCGCGGCCCCATAGGGCGCTCCACCGAAGGCCCCAGTGGGGTGTCCGCATGCGTCCGCCACACCCAGTACAGCGCCTCGTGGCCCCATAGGGAGCTCCCTCGAATGTCCTAGTGGCGCAGCCCACATGCGTCCGCCACACCCAGGACAGCGCGTCGTGGTTCCATAGGGCGCTCCACCCGAGGCCCCAGTGGGGGTGCCCGCATGCGTCCGCCACACCCAGTACAGCGTGCTGTGTCCCCATAGGGCGCTTCACCGAAGACCCCAGTAGGGATGCCCGCATGCATCTGCCACACTCAGTACAGCGGCTTGTGGCTCCATAGGGAGCTCTACCGAAGGTCCCAGTGGGGGTGCCCGCATGCGTCCGCTACACCCAGTGCAGCGTTTCGTGGCCCCATAGGGCGCTCCACCCAAAGCCCCAGTGGGGGTGCCCGCATGCGTCCGCCATACCCAGTACAGCGTTTCGTGGCCCCATCGAAGGCCCCAGCGGGGATGCCCGCATGCGTCCGCCACACCCAGTACAGCGCTTCGTGGCCCCATAGGGCGCTCCACCTAAGGCCCCAGTGGCGCAGCTGGCATGCGCCCGCCACACCCAGGACAGCATGCCGTGGCCTCATAGGGCGCTCCACCCAAGGCCCCAGTGGGGGTGCCCGCATGCGACTGCCCCCCCAGTGCAGCGCGTTGTGTCCCCATAGGGAGCCCCACCGAAGGTCTCAATTGCGCAGCCCGCATTCGCCTCCCCCAGCGAGTGCAGCGCTTCGTGGCCCCATAGGGAGCTTCACCGAAGGTTCCAGTGGCGCAGTCCGCATGCGTCTCCTCCTCCCAGTAGAGCGTTTCGTGGCCCTACAAGGGGGCTCCACCGAAGACGATGCTTACAACTGCGGTGTTCACAACTGCATATGGTTGGGCCCTTCGCCAGGCTAAGTTTGCCGACTGCCTCCGACCGTAGGCGAGGAATGGTGGACTGTTTGCTGGGATCCTTGCGCCGCAGTTTCCCACAACGGGCGATTTTGCCTTGTCTCGGTCCCCTGGGCCATCTCATGCCGATCTGCAGCAGGAATATACGTTCTAGGGCTCCAGTCGAGATGTCTCGCGATGTTGCAATGTTTGTCGGATCTTCGGATCTCATGGACGCGGGGCACCCATCGCGCGGACCAGCTGCAAGGATACACTGCTTGCAGCGGCTCTTGCATGTTGTGACCGCGCTGTTCGCGTGGTCCCACTTGCTGGCTCGATTGCGACACTGAGCGTAATGGGATGGTCAAGCTGCTCGGTGGCCCTCCTGGGCCAGTCATGCTACATCTGATTGCGGTCTCACCCCATGCAAGCCAGAAGCCAGCGCACTGCCGGAATCTGCCCCCTTCCGTCACAGAGCGTCGCCGGAAGCCCGAACGATATGTGTATATATACATATATATAAGATGTATAGATATATATATATATATCTTAGTATACATATATATACACATGTATACATATATATATATACATACATACACATATATATGTATAAGTTGACGCGGACGGGGCGCGTGGGCGTCCATTGGTCAGATGAGTCAAATGCCCGCGGAGGCCCCAGGGCGCGCAGTCGCTCGCCCGCGCGGCTCGGACTCCGCGCCGCGTCCCCTTCCCTCTTCGGAGGTGGATCGACCTCCCACCTCGGCACGTCGATTCGGGCATTGGCCGTTGGCGGTTCGCCGAGATGGCGCCGCGGCCGTCAGTTTTGTGGGTCCGGGTCCGTCGGTTTCGGTCCCAGGCCGTCTTCACTCAGGGGAGGTTTACTATAAAGGGAGGCTTGTCCACCGCCGATCCTCCTGCCCCGTGTCCTCGCAGAGGCTCCGTCGGACGGCACGCCGGGCGGCCCTCCGCACCCCGCGCGTCTCCGACCCCCGTGGCGCGGCGCGGCCAGGACGCCATCCGCAGCAGCGCCCTGGAGCACCAGCGCCTGTCGGACCACCGAGAGCAGCAGGCACTGGCGGCTGCTCTCGAGGCCTCGCAGGCAGAGCACCTGCGGCAGGAGTCGTGGGCGACGAACAGAGGGCGTTCTGCGGCAACTCATGGGAGCCTCCTATACCATCTTGTTGGCCCTTGCGAATCGATGCTAGTCGAAGCTACATCCATACTGGACGACGCTGCATCGACGCTCTCCCATCGCTTGCCAAGCGCAAATTGACGCTGTTGCACTCTGAAGACGGAACTAGAAGGGTATACGAGGCGCCAGTGATTTGCTACCAAATACTGAGAGGGTGAATTCGTCTGCCTCCTCCTCCTCATCGTTTTGCAGCGTATGTCGTTTTTGCTCTTGTCTCGTGTGGCGTACGGTGAACTTCCCGCCCCCGCGGTTGGACGAAGCTCGATGAGCCAGTCTCTGGGCAAGACTGGGTCATTCGCAGGGGACGTGCTCCTCCTAACCCGTCCCCTCTCTCCCCCTTTCCCTCCTCCTTTCCCCCCTCCTCCTCCGCCCCTTGCTGCTGCTGTGCTCTCGCTGGCGGACCGAATCCGCTCGGGAGACAGACTCATCATGGCACCATCATCGCAGAGCGGTTTTCGTTTGGAAAACACTGGGATGGACCAGCACTGTCCTGGAGAATTTCGTTCCAGATTTCGAGGTGAATTTCGTGCGGATTTTTGTTGGCCAGGAGTGAAGACTACACAAATCCACGCGAAAGTCACTTCGTTTTTCGCTCGCCGTTTCGGGGTTTTGCATTGGCAGAGATCCGCGCAAAAATCCGCTGCAGCACGTTTGCAAGGTCGGTGCAGTGAGGCTCAGTACAGGCGGGGACGCACACGCACGGCGAACAACGTCGAGCGGCACGCAGGGGGCACAGTCCAGCGAAACAGGTATCGAAAGGAAGTGGCACGTGGTCGTTTTTTTATTCGTTGTTTTGCCGATCGGCGCGGGCCCTCGCACTCCCCCTCCCCCCCCGTATGGAGAAGATCTTGGCTGTTTCTGGCGCCTGTTTTGAGCAGGTGGAGTCCCTACCCCATAGGACGCACGATTCTAAACAGTCGCACGAAGCAGAGGTCCGGAGCCAGACCCCCCCCCCGCCCTCCCCCCTTCCGCCCAATGCCGAAACGCCAAATAAAAAGTCGCTCACCACCTGGGCCCAGGCCCAGGAGCCCAACATACCCATCGAACTGGCGGAGCCAGTGAAGTACAGAAACACAGTCCGCATTGCATCATTCAACATCGGTGGCAGAAAATTGCGGGGAGGCGGGACGAAATCGAGGCCTGGACGCGTAGGAACAATACCGGGATAGTTGGTTCGCAAGAGACAAAACATACAGTCAAATTCAAAGGAACCAGGCAAATGTCAATTCCTTGCACCCCTCCAGGTTGCGCTTAGGTATCTGTCGTTATTAATCGCAGGTCTTTGCGTATCCATAGCATGGCGCACGCTCTGCCATGGCAGATCTCAATGTGTATATGTTGTTCGAGCTTCTTTGTTGGTTATCCTTAGGCATCCCCACACTGTGCCGCCACGAATCGTGACGTTACCAGGGGGGAGGGGGGTGGGAGCCAGAGTTGGTAACGGCCGCTATCACGAAGCATGTTTAAAACACAACGCGTTCTTGCCAGTGCACTTTTGACATGCGCGGCGGTTGTTATTTCTTTTACGTTTGTTTGTTCTCTCTCTCTCTCTGTCTCTGTCTCTGTCTCTCTGTCTCGGTCCCTGCTCCCGAGTGGAGCCCGGGCCGGAGGAGCGGCAGCGTTTGGAGGACCGCCCGGACCAGGAGCGCGAGGAGCAGCGGTTGTTGGCCCAGGTCATCGAGGCGAGGTTCCTGGTCCTCTTCGTCCCCTTCGTCCTCGTCCTCCTCCTCGTCCTCCTCGTTCTCCTTCTCCATCCTCCTCCTCCTCCTCCTCCTCCTCCTCGTCCTCCTCCTCGGTCGTCGGTCGTTTGTCGTCGTCGACTGCCAGCGTGAGGGCGGAGATCGAGGTTAATGTCGGGCCTGTCCCTCAACAGGAGGAAAATTCAAAAACTGTCAAACAATAACTAGTCTGGGGACGATCTCCCTACTTTTTTCCGTATGTTTGATTGTTTTATTGTTCTTCCAAAATCCCCGGATAGGAGACATGCCCGAACTAATTCGAGGTCTTGGGACGGCCATGGTTAGATCCGCCTCGGAAAGGATGGTGAGAGCGTGCTCCAGTTCGGTCGTAGTCCCCGTCCTCGTCGCCGTCGTCGTCCTCCACGAAGCGCTGTACTGGGTGTGGCGGGCGCATGCGGGCACCCCCACTGGGGCCTTAAATGGAGCTCCCTATGGGGCCACGAAGCGCTGTACTATGCGTGGCGGACGCATGTGGCCACCTCCCACCCCCACTGGGGCCTTAGGCGGAGCTCCCTATAAGGCCACGAAGCGTGTGAAGGGTGTGCCGACATGGGTGTGGCGGACGCATGTAGCCACCCCCACTGGGGCCTTAGGTGGAACTCCCTATGGGGCCATGAAGCGCTGTACTGGGTGTGGCGAGCGCATGTGGCCACCCCCGCTGGGCTTACGGTGGAGCCCCCTATGGGGCCACGAAGCGCTGTGTTGGGCGTGGCGGACGCATGTGGCCACCCCCCTTGGGGCCTTGGATGGAGCTCTCTCTGGGGCCACGAAACGCCTTACGGGTTGTGGCGGACGCATGCGGGCACCCCCATTGATGATGGCGATGAGGATGAGGATGAGGATGATGATGGTGGTGATGATGATGATGCTGATGCTGATGCTGATGCTGATGCTGATGCTGATGATGATGATGATGATGATGATGATGATGATGATGATGATGATGATGGTGATGGTGATGGTGATGATGCTGATGATGATGGTGGTGGTGGTGGTTATAATGATGATGCTGACGACGATGATGATGCTGATGATGATGCTGATGACGATGATGATGGTGGTGATGATGATGATGCTGATGATGATGATGATGGTGATGCTGATGCTGATGCTGATGCTGATGCTGATGATGCTGCTGCTGATGATGGACGGGGGAGGGAGAGGAGGAAGGAACGCGGGGACCGTCTCTTCAAGACGGGGACCCAACACCACAGGAAGGTTGGGAAATGGTATGGGGACTATATTTGGACTATGCCAGACTCTTTTTTCTGCTATTTCGAATTTTTCTGGCAGAATCCGCTTGTATGGGGGACACGCCCGACCTAAGGGTAGTGGGAGGGGTCGACGCCCCCCCTTCGCCCGCAAGCCGTCTCGCTCGCTCACTCCGACGCACTTCCAACACAGAAGTAACACCCCAGGGAGTCTCAGCAGATTGCTTCGGAGCGCCACGCGTGCCGTGCGCGCCACGGGCTCCAGGTGTACCAGGGCACCCTGGAGGCCCAGGCGAGCCAGGCGCGCCGGCTGCGGCACGCGCTCCACGTTCAAGCGATGTGCCGGCGCTCCCGCCGTCCCCGTCAGAAACTTATGCGAAGTGGTCGCGGGGCGCCCGCGCATGATGTTTTGTTTTTGTTTGGCAGGGACGGTGTGGGGGGGGGGCATGTCTCGGGTTGGCCCAGTCGGGTGGGCGAGGGGGGGCGTATTATTACCAGTTTGAATCATATCCCTATCCCTATGTTTGACATCACCTCACCTCGATGTCGATCTTAAGGATTCCCTCAGTTTCTGAGGGTCTATCCCTAAGATTGTCCTCGCTGTTTGCTCGCCCATCTTAGGGATAGAGATAAGTCCGAGGCTGGTTAATTTCGAAAAGCCAAGACAGCGTGGTCGCGGGGCGCCTTCGTATGCCCCAGATTCAGAGGCAGAGTACACTATGCATTTGTTTTGGCAGGGATGGTGGGGGAGGAGGAGGAGGAGGAGGAGGAGGAGGAGGAGGAGGCGGAGGCGGAGGCGGAGGCGGAGGCGGAGGCGGAGGAGGAGGAGGAGGAGGAGGAGGAGGAGGAGGAGGAGGTGAAGGTAAAGGTGGAGGTGGAGGGTGGGGGGGGGGGGCATGTCTCGAGTTGGCCCAGTCGGGTGGGAGAGGGGGGGGTGTACTACTAAGGGGCAGTGATCGATCCTTCCCCGACGGGGAAGAAAGGGGGTTGGAGGAGGAAGTTCACCAAGCCATTGACGCTCTGAATGGCTGGTGGGATTCGCTCCAGCTGCCGTGGCAGGCAGATCGACGGACCATTACAGAGCTGGAGCGGGAGAAGGCGCGACAGCGAGAGAGAGAGAGAGAGGAGAGAGAGAGAGAGAGAGAGAGAAAGGAGAAATAGAGAGAGAGAGAAAGAGATAGAACGAGAGAACGAAAATGAGCGAGAGAGAGAGAGAGATGACTATGCATAATGTCGTGCTGCGCGTTGACGATCCACTTCCCGAAACACAGTGCGCTGGCCTTGTGGATGCGGGCGAATTAACATACCCACCCTGGATGTCACTTTACGGCTTCTCGACAGGCTTCAATCGCTTAGCGCCGTGTCTCTGCTCTTCTGTGGACATGCAGTGGCTGACGCCCCGCGTCGCTGGCAACATCTTTGTATACCACGGTGTAGGAAGCTGTAGTTTACCATGGGCGTGTTTCCCATGGGGACAACACCTCTTCTGTATGACCTCGAGTGCAGAGGCGCCCAAATTGCTGTGCGCTTGCCGGTCGAAGATCGCGTACGCATATTTGATGTCCAGCCAGGTCGTCTCCAAATCGTTCCTTCGTTTCACAAGTTGGCGCATGAAAATCTCCAGTGTGGATCCACGGGTTTCTTTGTGTTGGCATCTCCGCAAGTTGTTGCACGCCTTAAATTTAGCCACAGGGAGGAACAACAAGCGGGGTGTTTTTTCGAGGGCATCAGACGTATTGGCCAGGTGCGGTTTGCGAAACAGCGTGTCGTCTTAGACGGATCCGGGAAGGGAACGCTTCTACCAGAGCCTCCTGCGTCGTGCTTCCCTCCTGCACTCCTGTGGTTGAGGCGTTCGTTTTGAGTAGGGCACTGTTGTTCCCTCCCTCCTTCTCCCGCCTCCTCCCCTATCCCTTCTGCTGCCTCTTGTTTCTTGTCCGCCTTCCTTGCTGCCCGGGTGATGCCAACTGCGCAATGGTCGTCGCTCCCGTGTGATCCTGATTGTGTCAGCGGAGTTGTCTCGCGTTCTGTGCACATCCAGATGGGACCTCGCCTCCCTGGGCGATGTCAGCTTGCAAGCAGTCCCTAATGTTGAGGGCTCATGGGCCATGGGAGATCCAGCGGAGTGGTGCCCCACGCAGATCCAAATGTGACCTCACCTCTCTGGGCGATGCCACCTACGCAGTCGTCTCCTCTTTCGTGGGTTCCAGGGACATCACTCCGGAAGGTGCCTTCCGCAGATGCAGATGGGGACTCGCCTCCCTGGGCGAGGCCAACTGGGTAGCTGTCGCCACTCCCGTGTGTCCTGGGAGGTCAAGCGGAGCTGTGTCTTCCGCAGATGCAAATTTGACCTCGCCCCCCTTGGGTGATGCCAAGTGCGAAACCGCCGCTGCATTTGTGTGGTCCTGGGAGGCCCAGCGCAGTGTTGTCCTGCAAAGGTCCACATGAAGCTTCGCCCCCCTGGGTGACGCCAGCGCAGCTGTCGCCACGCCCTTGTGCTCCTGGAAGGTTCAGCGGATTGGTTCCCTTGCACAGATGCAACTCGGACCCCGGCTCCTTGGGCGATGCACATCGCGAATCCTGGGAGGTCCAGTGGAGTAGTGTCCTACGCAGTTGCAGCTGGGACCCCGCCTCCCTTGTCGATGCCACTTGCGCAACTGTCGTCACGTTCGTGGGCTCCTGGAGGGTCAAGAGAAATTTGGACGTGCGCACCTCAGGATGGGGCCTCGCGTCCCTGGGCGCTGCCACCCACGCAACATCTGTCGCCGCCTTTCTGGGCTCCCGGGTGGTGCAGCAGAGTGGTGCCTTGTGATATTTAAGCAGGACCTCGCCTCTCTGCGCGATGCGAACTGCCCAAGTTTCGACACGTTCGTGGGTTCCTGTGTTGTTGAACGGAGTTGTGTCCTACTCAGATCCAAAGGGGATCTTGTCTCCTTAAGCGATACCGACTTCGAAGCAATCGCCATGTTTGTTGGCCCCTTGGAGGTTTGGAGGAGTGGTGTCCAGCGCAGCTCCAAGCAGGAGCTGCAGGTGTCGCAACCCCCGAGAGCTCCAGGGAGGTCCAGCCGAGCGGTGTCCTGCGCAGTTCCAGATGGAACCTCGCCTCCTTGGGAGGCGCCAACTGTGCAGCCGTCGCCACTCCCGCGTGCTCTTGAAATTCCTGTGCAAAATTCGAACGTTGGCCTCGCCTGTCGGGGCGCTGTGCACTGCGCAGCCGTCGCCTCTCCCGTGTGCTCAAATCGGGCCTGTCCCCTCTACAGGGAGATTTTCGACGAAAAACAAAATAGTCCAAACATAGTCCGAACATAGTCTGGGTATTATTCTTTGAGCATTTTTTTGCCTTTTAGGGGTATTTTTGATGTACTTTTATTGTTCGTCGAAAATCCCCCTGTAGGGGGACAGGCCCGACTTAACCGTGTGCTCCTGGGAGGTCCGGCGGAGTGGCGTCCCTCGCAGATCCAAGTGTGGTACAGCCTCCTTGGCCAATCTGCTCCGCAAGAGTGCGCAGATGAGTATCGCACATTGAGTGCGGCTTACCATATGTTTGACATTGCTGTCAATATGATTGGGAGCCCACCAACGTGTTTTATCGTGGTGGATGGCCCTGCTGATGGTAACCGCTCGTGTAGATAAAGGTGTGGGAGAGCGCACCCTGCGCACGGCAGGTTCGCGTCGTGTCGACCGGCGGCGACCCCGCCGCCAGCGTTCTATTTCGAGTGCCGCCGGCGACCCAGAATCGGTCGATTTTCAACGTGCTGACGTTTCGGGACCGGCCGATCGCTCAAGGTGGAAGGATCCTCGCGGTGTCAGGAGCAAGCGCTGGGGTCGACACCTCACGAACCTGCCGTATTCCAGTACATGGGCACTGCAGGAGGGAAAACAATTCAAGGACACGATTAATTATCGATTCCCCAGAGAGTATGGGGAAATATGGGAAGTGGGGGGGCAGACAAGAACCAAGGAAATATGGGAAAAGATATGGGGAACCCTGTTATTTGTGTCCATTTATTTGTGTGTCCCAGGGCCCCTTCAGCATGGAACCCTCGACCCCTGCCCGGGCATGCTTCTTCATCCTGGACGGTCTTCTGCGGCCCTGGAGCCCCTGACGGGCCTCCCGAGGCGACATCTGTTGCAGGCAGCTGCTCGGGGCTCCCTTCGACTCCTCCGATTCGATCCGCTTCGATTTCGATGGCTTCCGATTCCGATTCGATTCGATGTCGGATTCAGATGTTGGATCCGACCTCTCAAGGGAGGCCTGCTGGCCTACCGAGGTCTTCCGATTCGACTTTTCCCGACTCGGTTGCCGATGTCCATCGATCTGATTCAGTTCGATCGCCGATCCGACTCCCGTGGGGCCTTGTGAGGTCCGATTCGGTGCCGAAGATGTTCAAAAACCTCCCGCAGTAGTTAGTGCCTTGTTTGTGTCGAGACGAGGGTTGGGGTCTGGCAAGGGGGGGGGGGGGACGCAGGTCAGGGACAACGCTACGGGTCGACAGACTCAGACGAGAAGTTTCGGGTTTGAGGCTTTCGGGAGGTTTTGTGGGTTCTCGACGGCTTGCTCAGCACGGGGTGCCTTCCAGCGGCTGCGCCTCGCTCAGAGCGTTCGGGGGGTGCCCAGATCGTCCCACACCGCCGCCTGAGGCTCGAGTTATGGCCCAGAGGCCGAACGAGGCCCGAGTCAGGGGCAGAGATACAGGGGGTTAGGTTTAGAGGGGAACGTATCGACACTCAACCGCTCATTCATCGCCGATAGGGGTCCGATAGCCCGCCCCGCCCAGGAGGGTGCGGATTCGCTATCGGGGGCATGCCGCCGATCTATTGGCGATGCATCGCCGATTCCAACTTGATAGTTCCCACCCTGAGCAAGTCCCCCCCGAACTCTCCGCCGCAGAAGGGCAGGTCTCTGGCGAGGGCCCCCTGGAAGCCCAAAGTCGCAAAGAACTTGTAACTCCGCCCGAGACTGACCCACACCCTCGAAAACTGCGAGGCCCGCCCGCTGATGGGGCCGGCGCCGGCCCGCTGCTTCGCCGTCAGTGGTTCCTGCCGCCGCCTTCCGTCGTCGTCCGCCCTCGGAGCGCTCGTTCGTCTGTCGTCCTCGTCCTCGCAGCTCGTCGTCGCTGCCGTGTCGATGGCTGCGGCAGTCCTCTCTGCCAGGACCCTGCGCCCCCTCGGGGCGCGCTCGAGGCCAGCCTGGAATTTCAGAATCCTAGAACCCCGACGTCCGGCGCTTTTCCTAACCATCCTGTCTTGTTGGGTCTTCGTTTGAAAGAGACAGCGTCCCGCGCCCGCCTCCTTTCTCCCGCCTCCTTCCTCCTCCCATCCCTGCCTCTGCCCTCCGCACCAGTCAACTATTTCGGCACACCTCTCACACGCTTCATGGCCCCATGGGGAACTCCACCGAGGGCCCCAGTGGTTGCGTTCGCACGGCACCACGGCGCCCATGTCGGCACACCCCTCAGGCGTCTTGGCCCCATAGGGAGTTCCGATGGCCCCAGCGGCTGCGCTCGCATGGCACCACCGCGCCCGTAGTGGCACACCCCTCGCACGCTTAGTGGCCCCATAGAAGGCTCCACCGAGGGCCCCAGTGGTTGCGCTCGCATGGCACCACCGCGCTCGTGTCGGCACACCCCCTTTATATTGTAGTGACCGCCGGCCAGTGCCGCCGATCCGGGGCACTTCCGTTGCTGCCGGAATCGCACGATGGCGGTTATGACCCGCGACCACGGCGAGCGGTGAGGATGATGATGAGAATTGGAAATGGAGGCAACGGAGTTAGATGATGATGAGGAGGAGGAGGAGGAGGAGGAGGAGGAGGAGGAGGAGGACCATGATGAGGTGGAGGGGGGAGGGGCAGGAGTAGCAGGATGCTAAGGATGAGGAGGAGCATGAGGAAGCGGGAAGTGGAAGAGGGGGAGGGGGAAAAGCATGATCATGACGAGGACGAGGAGATGTTCGGCGGCTGTTGGAGGTGTTCGGCGGTTGTTGGAATGTTTCTTTGGGGCCAGATGTTGACCCTCTTTGGGTTGACGCCTCGCCGATGTGGCGCATTCTCTGACAAAGGCTTTGTGCTAGAACTGTCTGCGCCGCAGTTATTTGCGGAGCGTTGTGCATCACCGGTCTCTGCTGGGAACCACGGTGTTTTGGGGGTCGTTGGAGCCTTCGCGCTGTCCTCTGTGGGCCCTTGTGAGATCATGGATGTGATGGACACTGAAGACGGGGGAATATGTGAAAGCGTTGGAAAACCTGTATTGCAGCGCTTGTGTTCAGACGCAAGCGCCGTGGAAACCTTGGGGCCGGTTTTGGGCTTGTCGGGGGGAGTCGTGGAGGCAGTTCGGAGGCCTCTAGAGAGCGTTTTGTATGCATTTTTGAAATTCTTGGGGGCCTTTCGGCGGCTTTAGGGGGCGTCTTCGGGGCCAGTTGGAAGCGTATTGGGGCCTCGTCAGGCGTCTTGGGGGCTTCTGGGGGCCTGCTGGGGGTTTCCTGGCCAGTTTTCGGTACTTGTTCCGCCTGTCCTGGTGCCCTCTCAGGCGCCTCTTGGGCCCGTCCTGGGGCCCTTTTGGGACTTTTCCATGGGCCTCCTGGGCCATTTTGGGCTTGTCTTGAGCCTTTTTGGAGCTTTCTTGGCGTTTTTTTTGGCTGTTTGGGGGCTCTCTTGGGTCGTCTGCGACGCTCTGAAGGCCCAAGATGCGAATATGCTAACATTGTTCGCTTTCCCTGGGGAGTGGGGCTTGTTTTGCTTCTTTGGGCCTTCTTTGGGGTTTTTTTTTCTCAGGGCTCCTGAGGGCATCTTGGAGGCTTGTGGAGCCGTCTTGGGGACATGTCGGGCGTCTTGTAGCGATCGTTCGGCGACTCGGGGCCCTCTTGGCCCATGTTGGGGCCCTCCTGGGCGAGGGGGCCGCCCCAGAGTGAGCTGGAACTCCGCGATTCCACCCCGGCACCCACCCCCCAAAAGAGCTGAAGCTCAGGAATTGAGGCTCAGGCTGTTCTGAGGGTCTGAGACACTCACACGCCAGATCGGCGGATGACGGGAAGCGCCCTTGGCGTGGCCCCATAGGAAACTCCGCCGAAGGCCCAAGTGGCTGCGCTCGCATGGCACCACCGCGCCGACTTCGGCACACCCCGCACTCGCGTCGTGGCCCCATAGAAAGCTCCACCGAGGGCCCCCGTGGCTGCGCTCGAGGCACCACCGCACCCATACGAGTTTTGCCGAGACGCAGGATAACTGGGGGTCCCAAGAGCAGCGGAGGGGTGGTGGCCGGAGGGAAGGGCCCAAAGGCCTCCTACCGGGAGCAGAGCGCCGCCGACGAGGAGTTCCGTCGCCAGCTGGAGGCCGCGGCCAGCGAGTCGGCGGCGCTGGCGGGCCTCGAGGCGAGGGGCTTTAGAAAAGGGGGAGGACTTTGGGATGCACCCCGAGGGGGCTATAGTCGGACGCGCCCCATATCGAGGATGGGCGCCCCCCATCGTATCCCCCAGGGTTGGGGCCCGAGTTTCTGGTCCACCCGTAGCCTCCCAGAGCCTGGGTTAGGGGTCGACATATCCCTTGTTAGCTATAGGAGCCTCGTGTCCCCTCGTAGCTCTTCTTCTCGAGAGTGCATGCCGGAGGAGGAGGAGAAGGAGGCATCCGTATCGCCACCCGTCCCTCGTTTCACCCTCCTTCGCCCTCCCGGGAGGCCCTCGTCGCCACCGTTGGATTCTCGGGGGCCCCCAAGCGGAGCGGTGACCATACCGAGCGGTGAGGAGGCAGGGATCCGGGATCACCGCACGGTTTTGGGACTCGGGTCGTTCTCCGAGGACGTTTCGGGCGACTGGGGCATCCGAGGTCCCAAGACCGTGCGGTGACGGACCGTGCGGTGAGGTCTTGGGGGGTTCCGAGGTCACCGCACGGTCTGTCACCGCACCGTTTCGGGACTCCAAAGATTCGCGTCGTAATCCTTCCTGGTCAGAACGTATCCCGGGAGAAGTCTGAAGAGTAGCGGTATCGGTACCTTTTTTGTTCCCCAATATTGTTAACGGCTCGCAGGAGCGATGCTTGAACGACCTGTAGACCAGCCTGAATGGAAAATCATTGAACAGCGGCCCCAACTCTCAGAGAAGCGCAGCTGTGGGGATGACGCGAGCTAGGCCCACCGACGACAGTGCACGCTCTGAATCGACACGAGGTTCGAAGGGCCGCGAACATCGTGCTACACTAGGCACGAGGTGCCTGGGCAGAGGGTGGAGGACGAGGAGGAGTAGGAGCAGGAGGCGGAGGATCGTTGCGGGACATCCGACCCCGAACCAAACCTCCGGATCGGTGTTGGAGGTCGCCGCGGCAATTGCGGCGGCTACACGTTGTGACAAGGTTTATGCCAACGAGTGGTATGCCCCTTCCCCGCGCCCCCCCCTGCCAGCTTGCGGTGCAGACGAGGCTCATGTTAACCATATGCTGACAGAGATTTGCCAACTTACGTCAAACATGGTCAGTCACTTTTTGGGATATTGATCAATGTTCACGCAACCAGAAGAGGAGGAGGACGAGGAGGAGGAGGAGGAGGAGAGGGAGGAGGAGGAGGAGGAGGAGCCGGAGAAGGAGGAGGAGGAGGAGGAGGAGGAGGAGGAAGGGGTACCTCTATCACTACCGACGTTTTCGATTGTGTTCGTTCCCGGCAGTTTTCCCGCCGCGAGATGCATTTCAGCAGCTGCGCCTCCCCTCTGTATCATCCCGAAGATCGAGCTCCGACCCAGAAGCCAATGAGGAAGGGCGAGAGTTACCGATGCACCAGCAACGGTCGATACCCGGGACACCCCCCTTGGGTAACGGTGACGATCGTACGTAGGCGATGGGGGTGTTGGTGCTCGCGCACATGCTACAGTTACTTTATTTCGTTTGTGTGTTTCTGTTGTCGGGCACTTTGTTGCCAGCGCCCCGCAAAATTCGTTCATGCGAGGTGATGAATTTCGTCGGTGGGGGTCCTCACGCAGCTCCCGCGCCAAAGTTCGATGGCTCGCCGAAGGCACGATGTGATTTGCCGCTGGCGCCGTCGCCAAATATTTCATTGCCAAATGTGGAATGTTGCAAACAATCAGGAGGAAAATAAACACACAGACGCAATTAATCTTCGAATCCTCAGAAAATATGGGACAATATGGGAAGTGGGCGGGAAGACATAAATCCTGAACATATGGGGAACTATGGGGAATAGTTTTATTTGTGTGTATTTGTGTGTGTGTGTGTGTGTGTGTGTGTGTGTGTGTGTGTGTCCTTGGGCCCCTTCAAACAAACGGTTCGGTCGCCAAGCTCTTCGCCCTCTATATTTTGCGCGCGTTCCTGCCCGGCCTGCCGCAGCCTTCTCGGGTCCAGCTGGTGCCTGCGTGCGCGCGCTGCGCGCACGCGCAGGGCTCGCCGTGGCATCGCGCCCGGCGAGATGCCACGCTCTCTCGCAGGGAGAGGACCCGCCCGCGTCGCGTGACGGCCCAGGGCCCCACAGGCTGTCGCGTGACGTGCCCTCCCCCTACAGTGCGTTTTTTTGTGCATGCTCCGCGTGCGAATCATGTATTAAAAATGCAGGGGTCTAGAAGTGAAAACAAAGATGACTTCGTGCATATATTTACTCACAAATTCGTCATGGATTAAGAATCCGAAATTTTTGAAAATCCTATGTGTTAAAGACTGCCCTGTCGGGCGAGGAGGGGCGCCGCCCTTCGAGGAGGGGGGGGCCCAGGAGAGCTGCGCGTCACGCTCGCCCTCGCCAACCGACGGCGCCGAAGGCCATCCGCCGCGCCGCTGCTGCTGGGCGGCGCCGAGGGAGATCGCGCGGTGCCGCCGCGGGCGGGGTCCGCGCGTTGCGGGCGGAATGCAGGCGTGGCGGCGAAAGCAGCCGTGGCGAGGGCGGCCATGTCCGCCGCGGCCGCGGTGGCGGCGGCCCCGCGGCCAGGAGAGGCCCCCGTGTGCGAGGCGGCCCCGGTCGATGCGGCCGAGGGGCTCGAGGCGGTGGCCGAGGAGACGGGCGCGCGCCCGTGGGGATCGCCGCTCATGTTGGCGTCAACTGCAGGCGCAGCCACACGTCCCCGCCAGGCCCCGCAAGGCGCGGCAGCGGACCCGAGGTGGCACGAGGGCATGTGCCCAGCGCTGCCCCCCCTCCCCCCCGCTCAGGGGCACCCTGGTCGAGGTCGCCCTCCGTGGGCTGTCGGCATTGAGGACCGCGGGGCTGGCCAAGTGTGCAGACGGGGCCGCCAGCCAATTTGGGCGCCAGGACTTCACCCCCGCCAGCGAGGTTGTCTACCTTGGCGCGGAGGACCCGCGCGACGACGGCGAGATGAATGGCGACTCCATCGACCTCGGCTTCGGGGGGCGACCTCCGGCCATGATTTTTCTGCACCGCTGGAGTGCGCCCTGGCGACTGCGAGGTGAGCGACTGGCTGTTCGGCACGTCGGTGATCCATGTTTCTCGGTGGCGTCACGCGCGGACGCCTCTCCAGCCCCGCGAGCTGCTGACGGAGCCGCGCGCGAATCCCCGTCGGAGACGGTGAGGAGAGGGGCCGCGCCCTCGGGGTGGCGCGTCTGCGGGCGCACCCCTGCTCTGGCGAAGAACGCGCTGGCGGCCCGGGGACTTGAAGGAGCGCCTGGGCGGAGAGGCCGATCGCGCCGAGGGGGATGGAGCTTCGCGCAAGGCCTTGGCGGTCGAGCGCGCCCTCCAGCCCTGGGCCGGCAACGACGCAGCAGGCGCCTCTCCTGGCGGAAGGGGGCGACGAGCGCATCCACTCGGCCCGCAGGGCGCCCCCTATAGACGACGCGGGCGACGGGCGGGGGCGCGGTTGCGAGCGCGTTGCTCGCACCCCTGGCCGCGACCGCTTGACGAGCCTCCCGGCGAAGTTCGCGGCCAAAGGCCAGGGGGGAGACCCCTCGGCCTCCAAGTATGGGAGGTTGCGCTCGCCCGGGGGGCGACGGCGCCGAGGGGGGGGCAGGCGGCGCCGCCCGGGCCGCGGCCGAAGTGGGGGCCGCAGCAGCGCCGCGGGAAGCTCCACCTTGCGTTTTCCTCGCGCCCAACGCTCAGCTCGGGGCCGCGCCGAACGCGCGGTCGAGCGGCGGCCGGGGGGCATCGCGGAGCGCGCGATGGCGAAGCTGCGGAGGCACTTCAGGGCCAGGACGCGGCAGTCGAAGACGTAGAGCCCGCGTTCTTCATGCCTCTCGAGCGCGCTCACTCCGCGCACGAATGGGGCGCTCTTGGCGAGGAGCAACCAGGAGATGCGCATGCTTGCCACGGACGTCGACGGCGCCCTCAGGGGCGGTCTTGCCCCCGCCACAGACGGGCTCGGCCGGAGGCTGGGCGGCCAGGCGCCTGGGCGCGGTCGAGGATGGCAAGATCTCGGCCATGGGGGGTGGGAAGAGGAATTCACCTACCGGGGCGAGAAGGCCGAGGCGCTGGCGTCGCGTCTGCAGCGGCAGGTGCAAGGCGGCCGCCGCGCCGTCGAGCGGTGACAAAGCCTTCGGCTCGATCTCCGGATCCAGAGGCTCAGTCGAGGCCTTCCCCGATGGGGGGGAGCAGTGCTGCACCGCCGCGCGTTGGCAATTTCGAGCGCAGGAGCCCGCGGACCAGGCGACCGTGGAGCGGTGGGGAGATCCAGGGGCCCGCGGCCCACCCAGCAAGGCGCCATAGGGCATCGCCCACGGGGCGATGGGGGTCACCGGAGCGTGCCGACACCACCTCGGTCCCCAGCCCTAAGGCCCTCAAGGGGGTGCCTCTCTGGGCAGGCCCGCCCTGCCTGAGGGCTGTCGGTCGATCGACGCCCGGGTGGAAGTGGCGAGAGATCCCCATCCTGCGCCGAGGGCTGGCCGTGCTTTTGAAGCTTCAGCGGCGAGAGGAGTGGGCAACGAGTGGGATGACCCCGATGCCCCCCCTCCCCTGCGAGACGTTTTGACGCGTCGTCAACGCGAGTTTTCCTGCGCCCGCACTTTTCAGAGGCGCATTGGCGCATCCTCGACTTCGAGCAGCCCGGCAAGTTGCTCCATGCTGGCCTCCTGTCTGGCACGATCGGCGAGGTTCGTGCGCCGCGGCACCTCGCGGGGGCGGGAGGTGATGGCCTCGTCCAGTTTTCGCCGGGCCGCGAGCGCCCCCCCCTACCCCCGCCTTCAGCGCCGGGGGCGAGCAACTGGAGCCAGCCATGCCAGGGACCCGGGTAGCATCGCAGGCTGTCAGCTGGGGGGGGTGGCACGCTGGTCGGGCGCGTCTGGGGCAGGCCCCCCGTGGGCCGGCCGCGTGGCTGTCCGAGGCCGCGGCGAGGCCGCGGCCGCTCGGGGCGCGAGGGGCTGGCCGCTGCCCGTCCGAGCGCTGCTCTGGCGCTCGACGGAGGCCGCTGCTCCGCAGGTCGACGCTTGCAGGGCCGCTGAGCGGCGCATGCGGGCTTGCCCTGGCACCAGTCCGCAGCCGCCCCTTGGGCATCTCCAGTCGCGACGCCGCGCGCGACGGTGGCGCGGCGATGCTGCCTGGGGCCATCCCCTGGGAGCAGGAACGGGCAGCGCTTCATCCGTTTGACACGCGCGCCTCGCTGGGCACCCTCGACCTCCGCGACGTCCGCATGTGGGCGTACTTCCAGGACCTCATGGGCACGTTGCCACCGTTGGGAGGCATCAAGGAGTGGTCACGCCCAGGGCGCGTCATGTCTGGGGAGGCGCCCCAGCTGGGCATCTCCGTGCGGGGCAGGGCATCCCCGCCGCAGGAAATCCCCTTCAGAAGGGGTCCTCATCGTGATTCTCACCGTCGCGGACGGCGTGAGCGCCAGCCATAGCAGCGACTTTGGCGTTCTGCCTTCCTCCGCTCAGCGGCGGACGATCATCGCGGGCCCGCGCGCGGAGGCCCCCCCGTCGCGCGACGACCTCGGGCCTCGAGTGGGCCCTTGGCTACTTCGAGTTTCCGACCTCGCGGGCCCCCTCTTCGCCCTCGAAGCCGCAGTCAGCGCGTCGGTCATCGATCTTGGTGCAGAGTGGGCCGATTGGGTCATCTACTTCGGCGCGGCCACCATGCCAGCGGGGCGCTAGTACGCGACGGGGCTGGACGTGCACGGGCGCATGCTGGCCACCCGCGGCTTTGTTGAGCATGGCCTGCCCATGGGCCGCGCGATCAGACAGGGCGACGGCATGCAGGCCTTCGTCGCAGTGTTGAGGGCTCTGCGGAGCCTGCGGCAGGCGTCTTGCGATTGTGCCGACTACGCCGAGCTGGCGAGAAGGGTGGCCGCCCCAGGAGCGCCCGCTCTCCCCGGGACCGCGCGGGCCACCTACGGCGACCTCGGCGCGCTGAAGCGCTCAGGTGCAAGGGTGTCCTCCTCCTGCTCCTCCTCCTCCTCCTCCCCCTCCTCCTCCTCCTCCTCATCCTCCTCCGCCTCCTCCTCCTCCTCCTCCTCCTCCTCCTCCGCCTCCTCCTCCTCCTCCTCCTCCTCCTCCTCCTCCTCCTCCTCCTCCTCCTCCTCCTCCTCCTCCAGGGGCGCCCGCGCGCGTGCGCAGAGTGCACCCCGCCAGGCGCCCAGGGGCGGCGCCGCCGGCCCAGAGGTGGCGAGGGCCGCGTCGGCCGTGGGCCCAGCCGCTGCTCGGCCCCTCCCGTCGGGGGCTGCTGAAAGTGCCCCGCCCCCCCCCCCTCCTCCTCCCTCCTCCCTCCCTCCTCCCTCCCCCCTCCCCCCCTCCTCCCTCCCCCTTCCTCCCTCCTCCCTCCTCCCTCTCCCCTCTTCCTTCCAAGCTTAACCCCCGTCCTCGCCGAGCCCCGCCGTGCCGGACCAGACCAAACACCCACTTGACCCAGCGTTCTGGATCATCCAGCGGCGAAGTTAGTTTCGGTATCGTTCAACCAGTCCCCATCCCCATCCCCATCCCATTCGATACCCCCACGAAATTACCACCCCAGTTGGGGACACACCCCTCGAAGCCCGAAGAGAACGACCCATATCCCCATTTATTTGGGGGTCAATCGGCCAGTCGGGCCCAGTCCGCGCTGCTGAGGATGGGGATCCGTCGAACGGTACTCACCTGGCCAAAGAATTTGTTTTTTGTTACCCTCTTGGCCATGACGCGCGTCATGCCCTCTACCATCCCTTCCCCCCCCTCCCCGCCCCACAGGCTAACGCTCTCCTCCTCAGCGCGGTTATGCGACACCGCCGCAGTGCGCCCAGCACCACCGCCTGGGGGGGGGATGCGTTAACGTTGAGTCGGGCATGTCCCTCTACTGGAGCAGTATTCAAAAATAGTACAAACATCATCAGGGGACGATGTTTTGAGTATGCGTTTGACCATTTGGGAAGCATTTTTTGACTATCTTTTATTTTTCGTTCAAAATCCCCCTGTAGGAGGACAGGCCCGACTTAACGTCAACGCCCGTTATGGCCTGGGAGCGGGGGGCGCGTTGCGTCAACGCCCGCTGTGGCCGCGAAGAATGGCATGCGCTCCGAGGTGCCCCCCAGCTTCTCGCTCGATTGATAGAGCCCCTCCGTGCCTCGTGGTGGGGGGCGCTCTGAGCTTAGGTCGGGCGTGCCCCTCTACAGGGGAAATGCTCAATCATAGTTTTTTACACACACACACACACACACGCAAAAAAAAGCAGGCTGGGCACGATTGCTGATTGTATTTTGGAAAAGTTGTGAGCGTGTTTTGACGTATGTTTAACGTTCGTCACAAATCCCCTTGTAGGGGGACGTACCCGACTTTACTCTGGTTTTCGGGTGCGGAGACCATGGGCGCAAAGTACAAGAGCCCTGTTTGTTCATTCTGAACCGGCTTCGCTGTCGGCGTCGCCGCAGTCGTTATCTTTTTGAGATGACTCAGAAGGCCGCCTGCCCAACAGCGACCGCTGTCGGTTTTGGACAACATCTGTTGTTGGGCATCGTGCCCATTTTCTCCGTACCCATCTCGGGCGTCCAAACAGCCTTTCTTCGGCCCCCCTCGTTCGGTCGCAGATCATGGTGGCCTTGTGTGTCATCCTGATTCTGTCTTTAGGGCGCACTGGCGTCGATTGACTTCTGGTAGTCGATAAGAGAGCGCCGATTTGGCGTCGAGTAGCGTCTACTTGGCGTCGATTCTCCTCGTCCTTGGATGAAGAGAGAGACGGCGCAAGCATATAAACTGTCGGCGGTCCGCGGGGAGTTCTGCTCCGCTTTCCGCCCCCCCCCCCCCCGCTCACTAGCGCGCGGAGCGCGCCAGGGGCGGCGCCAGGCGCCGCCAGGGGGAGGAATTTTCGAACATAGTAAAAAATAGTCGGGGGTCGACTCTTGATGTATTTTTTTGATCACTTTGGTCTATCGTTTGACTTTGTTTACTTTTTCGCCCCAAATCCCCCTATAGGGGGACGCGCGGACCGTCGAAAGTTCATGCTTATGCCGCTTTTGTCTCCCTCTAGCCCTCCCATACTTCCGACGATGTGATGCTTTCAATCTGGTGGTTTCCCTAGAGTTCGGCCCACAGGGGCCGTTCGCGGGGCCAGGGGCCATCAATCACGGAGCCAGGACGACATGTGCCCCCAGGGAGGTGGCCGAGATCGCCGGGGCCGCGGATTGAAGAGAACATGCCGTCGGGTGTTTGGGCTCGGGCGAGGGCCGGATTGGCCAGTGTTGCCTTCCGTCGGGAGCCTGGAGATGGGGGTCAATGCAAGCGGGGGTCGGGCACAGCGCAGGATCTTTCAGGATCTTGCAGAGCCAGCGCGCCCGATCTGCAGGATCCTGAAGGATCTTGCAGGATCTTGCAAGGCCTGACTGACCCGGGTTTGCGCTGGCCCAGGTCAGTGCGTCCCCGATTCCGTGTAGCATGCGGTTTGCCAGTGCACGTCTATGCCACGTTGCAGAGAAAGCAGTCAAAGCGCAGAGTAAGCATGAGCGATTGTCCAAGGTTGCCCTCGCACATCCTTGGTCGCTTTCGCTGCCCGCGCCACGCTCGAGGCGGAACGGGTCAGTATGGCCTTTCCAAGGCCCGTGCATCTTTACCGCGTATTCTTTGTCCCAACCATCCTGTGATGTTGGGCCCTCGTTTTGACGAGACAGCGCCCCGCGTCCCTCCTCCTCCTCCTCCTCCTCCTCCTCCTCCTCCTCCTCCTCCTCCTCCTCCTCCTCTACTCCTTCCTCCTCCCCCTCCTCCCCCTCCTCCCTCCGCCCTGCGTTTCACCCACCCAGTACTGCGTTTCGTGTCCCCATAGGGAGCTCCACCGAAGCCCCCAGTGGCACCGCCCGCATGCGTCAGCCACCACCCAGCACAGCGTTTCGTGGCCACATCTTGGGCTCCGCCGAAGGCCCCAGTGGCACCGCCCGCATGCTCCAGCCACCACCCAGCACAGCGTTTCGTGCCCCCGTAGGGAGCTTCACCGAAGGCCCCAGTGGGACCGCCCGCATGTGTCAGCCACCACCCAGTACAGCGTTCCGTGGCCCCACAGGGAGCTCCACCGAAGGCCCCAGTGGCACCGCCCGCATGCGTCAGCCACCACCCAGCACAGCTTTTCGTGGGCCTAACGGGACTCCACCGAAGGCACACAGTGGCACCGCCCGCATGTGTCAGCCACCACCCAGCATAGCGTTTCGTGGCCCCACAAAGTGTCTCCACCGAAGGCCCCAGTGGCACTGCCAGCATACGTCAGCCACCACCCAGTACAACGTTCCGTGGCCATATAGGGGGCTCCACCGAAGGCACAAGTGGCACCGCCCGCATGCGTCAGCCACCGCCTAGCACAGCGTTTCGTGGCCCCCGTAGGGAGCTCCACCGAAGGTCCCAGTGGCACCGCCCGCATGTGTCAGCCACCACCCAGCACAGCGCTTCGTGGCCCCACAGGGAGCTCCACCGACGGCCTCACTGGCACCGCCCGCATGCGTCTCCCCCCACCCAGTGCAGCGCTTCGTGGCCCCGTGGGGAACTCCACAGAAAGACTACAATTGGACCGCCCGCATGCGTCGTCAAACACCCAATATTGCACGTCGCGGCCCCACTGTTTGGGAGCTCCACCAAGCCCCAGTGCCACCGCCCGCATGCGTCAGCCACCACCCAGTACAGCGTTTCGTGACCCCACAGGGAGCTCCACCGAAGGTCCCAGTGGCACCGCCCGCATGCGTCAGCCAACACCCAGTTCAGCGCTTCGTGGGCCCGTACGGAGCTCCACCGAAGGCCCCAGTGGCACCGCCAGCATGCGTCAGCCACCACCCAGTAAAGCTTTTCGTGGCCCCGTAGGGAGCTCCACCGAAGGTCCCAGTGGCACCGCCCGCATGCGTCTCCCCCCACCCAGTACAGCGCTTCGTGGCCCCGTAGGGAGCTCCAGTAGCCCGCCCGCGTGCGTCATCCACCACCCAGCACAGCGTTTCATGGGCCCATATGGAGCTCCACCGAAGGCCCGAAGGCCCCTGTGGAGCTCCACCGAAGGCCCCTGTGGCACCGCCCGCGTGCGCCCCCCCCCCCCGGTACAGCGTTTCGTGGCCCCGTAGGGAGTTCCAGAGAAAGACCCCCCCAGCGGCACCGCCCGCATGCGTCTCCCCCGACCAGTACAGCGTTTCGTGGCCTCATCGGGAGCTCCAGCCAGGGGCACCGCCCGCATGCGTCAGCCACACCAAGTACAGCGTTTCGTGGCCCATGGGGAGCCCCACCGAAGACCCAAGTGGCACCGCCCGCATGCGTCTCCCCCACCCACGTTTCGTGGCCCCATGGGGAATTCCACTGAAAGCGTCACCCACAACGCGTTACTCACAACGGCATATGGTTGGGTCCTTCGCCAGGATCATTTCTGCGTTTTGATTGTAGTTCTCTCACATTGCAGCTAGTTCGGAGGTGGTACGCAGTCGGCCAGCAGTTTTGCGTGCATTACGCAAGCGTAGTAGGGGCTTCATGGGCAGGTCTGTCGTGCTTGTCCCCTTCTTTTCTGAGCAATGTTCATGTTATTTCCTATCATTCCTTCGGCCGCTTATCCTACCCAGTACTTGTAGTACGTGTGCTGCTACTGCGGACCATTAGTCCGACCGAAAAGCATGATGATGAGGAGGAGGAGGAGGAGGAGGAGGAAGAGGAGGAGGAGGAGGAGGAGGAGGAGGAGGAGGAGGTGGTGGTGGTGGTGGTGGAGCAGGAGGAGGAAAAGGAGGAGGACGAGAAGAAGGTGGTTGAGGAGGAGGAAGGAGGAGGAGGAGGAGGAGGAAAAGGAGGAGGAGAAGGAGGAGGAGGAGGAGGAGGAGGAGAGGAGGAGGAGAGGAGGAGGAGAGAGGAGGAGGAGAGAAATAGGAGGAGAAGGAGGAGGAGAAGGAGGAAGAAGAGGCGGCCTCGCGGAGGCCCGTGAGGCTCGCTTGGGGCCTCCTCCTGGGAGCCTCCTCGGGGCCTCTTGGGGCCTTCGTGGGAGCATCTTGGGTGCATTTGAGAGGCCCCCTCCTGGGGGCCTCCTGGGGGCCTCATGGGGACATCCTGGAGGCCTCTGGGGGCATCAAAGGGGCCTCCTGGCCATGAGAGACCGCCCGGGGGCCCTCTCTGGGGAGTCGTGGGTCCCGCTTTGGGTGCTCCAAGGCCGGCTTGGAGGTCCACAGGGGCTGTCTTGGAGCCGGCTTGGGGGCCTCTTGGGCCGTCTTGGG